AACCCGCAGCTGCCGGGTGCGGGTTGCTGCCCCCCGCTGCTGGGAGTGCAGCGATGCGGGTCGCAGCCCCTGAAACACGAGCGGGCGGCAGGAACTGGAGCCCGATGGCAGCTGGGTTTGGGGCCAGGGTGCATGTGCGGGTCCCCTCCTCTATGTAGAGCCGGTGGGGACACTGTGGGGACCCCCACTGTGGGGTCAGAGGCATCTAGTGTCTCTGCAGAGTCCTGCGCCCAAGTGGGCTCTGGCCGAGTGGCTACACTGGGCTCGGTGCCAGCACGGGGGCTGAGGGGGCTTCCAGCTCCAGCTGCAAAGACCCATTGTGGAGCCGCCGTGAAGCCCGGTGGGCACTGCCTCCCCGGCTCAGCTGGCAGCACCGGACACCCCAGGGGGACGCCAAGCTCAGCTGTGGGAGCCAGCGGGGAGCAGCGCTTGGAAGGCCTGCGGTAACTTGCCAGGGCTTTGTGCCCTGCAGAACAGCGGCTCCCAGGCCACGGCAAAGCAGCGAGGGAACTGCCAAGGGCAGGAGCGGCCCGAGGGCTGCAGCGTGGCTCTGGGAAGGGTGGCTCCGGGAAGGACTGGCTCAGCCTCTGGCAGTGCCAGAAGGGAAGGCACAAGGAGCAGAGGGAGCAGGGAAAGGATCCCTCCTCCTGCACAGCCAGCGCCCGGACCCAGGTGTTCATGGGCTGGTTGCCCCTTGCATGCGCAATGGCCGCAGCAGCCAGGGCAACCAGCCCGGGCAGGTGACTAGGGGCCATGGCCGCAGCTCCGCGCTGCCGGCAACGCGTGCACCTCTGCGTGATGCACGCGCGCCCCGCACAGGCCATACACCCACGGGTGACGCTTGCAAACCCCATGTGGGCCATGCACCCACAGGTGTTGCACACACCCAGGCCACGCATGCACAGCCCTTGCAAGCCATAGGGATGGTGCAGGCACATCTGATGCAGATCTCACCCCCAGCGGGTGAGGCACCCCACGGCTCAACCAGGCCGTACACCCACGGGTGCTGTATGCCAGACCCATGCAGACCGTGCATCCATGGGTCATGCGTGCACACCGCACACTGGTTACGGATCCATGAGCCATGCAAGCATGACTCGCACAGCTCAGGCACCCAGGGCTCCCACATGCACATGCCCCACATGCAGTGCGGGCCATGCACCCGGGGGGATGCATGCACCCCACCACGGGGACCATGAACCCAGCAGTGAAGCATGCAGCCCATCATGGGGCCATGCACCCAGGGTTGATGGATGCACCCCACCATGGGGACCGTGCACCCGGCAGCGATGCATGCACCCCACCATGGGGCCATGCACCCAGGGTTGATGGATGCACCCCACCATGGGGACCGTGCACCCGGCAGCGATGCATGCACTTCCACCGCGGGCCATGCACCCAGGGGCGGGCCGGGCGGGCGGGCTCGGCACCGCCGCCCGCGCTCACCTGGCTCCGCGCTCGCCGCCCGCACCGCTCCCCACTG